ATTTCACAATAAATCTTTTAACCCTCTCAGTGGTTGTTGTTGTTGTTTGCGATCCGGCCTCTGGTTCATGACAAGTTAGAGATTCATGAGTCTAACAGCCTCAGGGTAGAAGCTGTTCCTCAGTCTAGTGGTTCTACACTTAATGCTCCTTAACCTCCTTCCTGAGGGGAGTGGGGCAAAAAGTGTGTGTGCTGGGTGGGTGGGGTCCTTCATGATGCAGGTGGCCCTCTTCCTGCATCTGGAGGTGTAGATGTCTGTGATGGTGGGGAGACTGATTCCAACAGATTTCTGTGCAGCCTTCACCACTCTCTGCAAAGCTTTTCTTTCTGCAGCTGTGCAGCCTCCATGCCACACATTGATGCTCGAGCACAGGATGCTCTCCACTGCACACCTGGAGAAGGAGGTGAGGACTGAGCTTCCCAGTCCAGCTCGCCTCAGCCGTCTGAGGAAGTAGAGTCTCTGATGAGCTTTCTTGATCAGGCTGGTGGTGTTGTTGCTCCAGCTGAGGTTGTCATTCATGTGTACACCCAAGTACTTGTAGCTGGAGACCACTTCCACCACAGATCCTCTTATGTTCAGGGGGGTGTAGGTGTTTTTGTTCCTTCTGAAGTCCACAATCATCTCCTTTGTCTTCTTCACATTGATGTGAAGGTTATTCTCTCTGCACCAGCTCTCCAGGTGTTCCACCTCTTGCCTGTAGCTGGACCCACCATTTTTTGTGATGCATCCCACCACCGCTGTATCATCTGCAAACTTTACAATGTGACAGCCTGGATGGGTAGCTGCACAATCATATGTGAGCAGAGTAAACAGAAGGGGGCTCAACACACATCCCTGAGGAGAGCCAGCGCTGAGGGTTATGGTGGAGGAGGAGAGGTTGTGGATCCTCACTAACTGTGGTCTGTTTGTTAAAAAGTCTAGTACCCAGTTGCAGATGGAGGGGCTTAGTCCTAGACAACTAGGACAAGACAACTCAGACATGTCTCAAAGTTATTCACCAGTCAGTTCCAAGTGAGAGCTGATGGACCGGATCAGAACCTTCAAACACTGAACTGTCTGTAACTTTACCATGAAAACAGGAAGTCCAACTCCTCCTCATCACCTGCACATTGTTCCACAGGTGAGGGGGAACTCTGCATCTTAAAGAGAAAACTTCTCATCTGTAGATACATCAAGAAATACTTTGATTAAATACCATCTCAAACCTTCAAGGATTTACTTTTTAGTACTTACAGTACTTTATTAGTTCACTCTGAGTATTTATGACCATACAACAATCATACATATTTTGTAATGTCCAGAGTGCAGTACAAGTACACCAGAATAGAACAAGTACTTTCTACAGTATCGAAGTTTATTTTTGCAGAATTTTACTGTGAAAATATTTTTAAGTACTTTAAAATAAATACCAGCACAATACTTGGGAGTATTTTTTTAATAAAAATATTTTTTGTAATATTACAGTATAAAACTGATGTGTGGACACTAAAAGTTCTAAGAATAAAAGTTAGTACTTACTGCAAATACACTGCAACACTGTAAATACTCTTCAACAAGTAAAAGTACTTTTAGTAAAAGGTACTGTAACGTCCTGCAGGAGGCTCAGTGGTGTCTCTCTGTGTGTCACAGATGGCCAAGCCCCCCCTGTCCAGACCTGCAGACCACCTGATCCTGCAGACTCAGAGACGGGAGGAGGCCCGAGACCAGGCCCTGGGGTTCACCAGAGACCTGCAGAGCTGTGACATCAAGGCTTCGTGGCTGCTGAGCGGCGAGCGCTGCTTCCTGAGAGGAGCTGTGGAGAGGAGAGTCGGAGCTGAGCTGCAGCAGCACCAGGAGAACATCCATGAAAGGAGACGCAGGTCGGTGCGCCGTCAGGTCCAAACCCAGCCTCGGTGCATGTTTACTGCTTTGTTCTGGACGTGTGGTTGTTGTTATGATGCAGCTGTGGTGTCTCCTCCTGTCGGTTCCTCAGGCTCAGGGTCCTCCTGGAGGCCGAGGAGCAGCAGCTCCTGCAGGAGATAGAGGAGAAGGAAGAGACAGTCCTAGAGAAACAGGCCAAGATGAGAGAGCGGACCAGAACCCTGAGAGAGAGGAGAGAACAGGAGAGGCAGCAGCTGGTTACAGACAAGATGGATCAGCTGTTCAGGTCCGGTCTGCCACAAAGTTCTGTTGGACCCTGAGACATGGTTCTGACTCCAGCTGAAGTCACAGCTTCAGAAGCTCTTTAACCAGACCTGCTGGTTTTCAGGGAGCAGTGCGAGGATCTGCGCAGCATCCAGAGCCGACGTTACGAGCAGCAGGTGTGTCGGGAGCGTGCTGCTCAGGTGAGGAGCAAACAGGAGGAGCAGCGGAGGCAGCAGGAGGAGGAGCGGCTGTTTGAGGAGCTGCTAGAGGCCGACCAACAGGTCAAAGACCAGCAGGAGGTTCTGAAGGTCCAGCAGCGGCAGCAGAGGGACTCTGAGCAGCTGCAGGAGCTGAGGAGGCAGATGGAGGCGGCAGAGACACAGAGGCAACAGGAGAGGCAGCTGAAAGAGGAAGAGGCCCGACTCCGAGTCAGAACCTCCTCACACAATCTCAGATTGATGAATTGAATATGTGTAAAAAGCTGAATCTATGCTCTTCTAAAGTTCTGGACCTTGTGTGTTGATTTGCAGCTGCAGCAGAACCAGACCCAGGTCCTGGAAGAGCAGTGGAAGCAGCAGCTGAAGCTCCAGGAGCAGCAGAACCGGCGCCGGCAGCTAGACCGGGACCTAAGGCTCAAACTGAAGCGGGTGGCCCGGGAGCAGCAGGAGGAGCTGCAGATGGATATGAACTTCCTCCAGGAGCTTCTCAAACAGGAAACAGACCACAGACAGGAAGCTGCTAACAGGAAGGTAACCTAACATACAGGAAGTTGCTAACAGGAAGTTAACCTGACGGACAGGAAGCTGCTAACAGGAAGGAAACCTCCACAGGTTCACCTTGTTATGCTAGTCCTGAAGTGTCTGTGGCAAAAACATTTAGTAAAATTCATACTTCGAGTAACATCAGTGAAGAAGGAAGGAAAGGTCTGGAAGCTACAAAACTAAAATACAAAGATTTGTTACAAAATACTGAAGAAACAAATAATTTATTGAATGAACTGTTTACCAAAACAGAACTGAACTATGCTTTAAGGAAAACAAATAATACAGGACCTGGTAAAGATAACATTTGGAAAACGATAGAACATCTAAGTGAAACATCAAAATATATAATATTAGAATTTTACAATAAAGTCTGGGAGGAAGGGGAGCTGCCAGAAAGTTGGAAGGAGGCGACAATAGTTCCAATAGCCAAACCAGGAAAAGACAATACAAAACCAGAAAAATATAGATCTTTTGCTTTAACGTCAAATATGTGTAAAATAATGGAAAAAAATGATTAATAATAGATTAACTTATTATTTAAATATCAAAGGGTATATGTATCTAAATATAAGAGTGGGTTTAGAAAAGGGAGGAATACTAATGATCCAACAATTTGCTTAGAATCTAAAAAAAGTTAAATCTGGTCCTCTGGACATTCAAAGAAAAAAATTGTAGAAACGTTTCGTCTTTCATCCGAGAGACTTCCTCAGTCTGAGGTGCTGTATTCAGCTCAGTCTTATAAATAGCACCTTCTCAGAGTGGATCAACCAGTTTGCTGCTGACAACCAAAACCAGCTGATCACATGCTCAAGAAGGACCATCAGCCTAACAATGGATCATTAGCACACTGATGGCTGTTTACTGTTCACAGAGGGCTGAGTGATACTAGCAATCACAGCATTGTAAGAGGGGGACAGTTGAACCCGGAGGCCTCCACCCCTGTTTAATGATGGACGATTTCTTTTCACAAAGATGGCCTCCTTTACTCCTCTCTCAAACCATCGTTCCTCTCTATCCAGGATGTGAACATCTTCATCCCTGAAAGAGTGACCGCTGGCCTGGAGATGAGTGTAGACTGCAGAGTCCTGGCCTGATGATGTTGATCTTCTGTGCTGGACCATCCTTTTGGCCAGTGGCTGTTTTGTTTCCCTGATGTAAGACTGATCACAGCCCTCCTGACACTGAACAACATACACAACATTGCTCTGTTTGTGCCGGGGGACTGGATCTTTGGGATGAACCAGTCTTTGCCGTAATGTATTTTGGGGTTTAAAAGCCACTGGGACGTTGTGTTTAGAAAATAAACGTCTCAGCAGCTGTTTGATTGTCAGCATGTGGAATTGTCTCTCCATGATCAATTTGTTGAACATGAACAGGTCGAGAATGGGTCTCATCCCCCTGGTTTTTCGGAACCAGGAAGTAGTGGGAGAAAAAATCCTGTATTTTCCTCTCCGATGGGAACTCTGGAAATCATGTTTTCATCAGGAATTCCTGAACTTCTTACTGAAGAGATGAGCTCTGTTCTGGAGAAGACAGGATCGTCTCTATAATCCCTCTGAACGGTGGGTGTTGAGCTGCGAACTGCAGCGTGTAACCCCTTCTGATCAGACGGTCCGTACTGTCCAGGGAACACACTCGCAGCCACTCTGAGTAACGCTCGGGGAGCAGGCATGCATTTTGTGTTGTCATGTTTCTCATGGACGCCAACAAGACTAAAAACCCTTACTGCCATCACCCGCTCCGGATTCTCCGAGGGGAACCCAAGGGGGGCTCCAACAGAAAAATGTTGTATGTGTGCCTCTGTGCTGAGCCCAGGCTGCGGTCTCACGTTAGAGCTGAGGTGAGCCGGTGCGCACTGAGAGGAGGCGTGAGTGCTTTCTGAGTGAAAATGAAGTTTCGGTGGAGGCTGCAGGTGTCGTGGAGAAACATGTTTACTCCCGCTGCGCGGTGAGTTGGCAGAAAACAGCAGAAAATAAAAACGGGCTCTGGCTAACAGCGAGGGATTTTACCGGACTCGGTCTGTTGAAGGAAACATAATTTTAGCTGACGTGGCAGATGAGTGTTTTGTGATATTTACCAAACTGTGGTGCCTTTTAAAACGCTGTTTAGAGGTTACTGGCTCGTTCTGTGTGGGGAATGTGTGAAGAGAGGCAGCTGTGAGATCAGTTGATCTGACAGTCGGGCTGGAATCAGCTGAAACTTAACTTTCAGAGATGTTTCTGTTTTATTTCAAAACATACATCATCAAAAAACACGCACATTCCCCTCAAGGAGTTGTTCCCTGGTGGAGGGGGCTGGCAGAGGAGCGGAGCGTGAAGTCGCTGCCACAGCTGTGGAGCACCTCTGCTGCTGTTGCTGGCCAAGGTGGTCCCTCCAGCGGCCGGAGGGGCAGATGGACTGTGACGTCACCAGATGGTATATAGTCTCTGAGATCTCCTCGGACCTCTACGATTTCTCAAGGATGGTTCTGAAGTTGGCCCGGTCAGCGCCTCTGGGGTGATGGGGCCCTCCAGCAGGTCTTTCTGCAGCCTCTCGGAAAAGGATGGCGAGAGGCAGAGCCAGGTGGTCCTCTAGATCATACCATACCATTATATTTATAGAGCACTTAAAACAGCGACAAGGCCAACCAAAGTGCTGTACAGACAGAACAACAGGTAACACACAAAGCAAAATACAAAATGAAGTAAATCAGAATATAGACATAAAAACGATGCAGATAATGACGACAAACCAGTGTGGAACATACAGGTTCAAAACACAGATCATCTGGTGTTGAACGCTACTGAATAGTAGTGGGTTTTTAAATGGGACTTGAAAATCGAGAGGGAGGGGGCCTGTCTGACAAGCAGAGGTAACTCATTCCAGAGTCTTGGTCCTGCTACAGAGAAGGCCCTGTCACCTCTGCGCTTAAGACAAGTTCCTGGAACTGTGAGGAGCAACTGGTCCGCTGACCTCGGGGAACGTGGTGGGACATACGATTGTATGGTCATGGTCATCCAGCGGCGATGCGGGACAGGCAGACCGCAGAGGTGGCGCACATGTTTAAGATGACGTCAGCGGTTTTACAGAGAGAGCTCTGTCTCCTCCAGCAGGTCTGCTTCCTCCAGCCTCTTAGAGATGCTGTAGGCCAGCAGTGTGACGTTGTTGTTCGCCGCGACCACCTGGGATGTGCACTGGTGAGCTCGGTTGGAGAGTTTGTCACCATCTGGTCATGCTTCCCTGGAGGGACAGGTTGCTGGTCCATCCTAGAAGCTTTTGCCCCAAGCGCCTCCGCCAGGCTTGGCTCCAGGGGGGGGAAACAGAGGGCAAACACTAATCGGTAACACCCTCCACTCTGGAGATGGAGGCGAAGGTGGAGACGGATGTCTTCAGCTTGCCGGGCCCATCTGCAGCCTCGTTCCAGTGTGACGTCACAGCTGGACAGCAAGGCCAGATGGGATCAGGGTGACGAGCCGAGGCGGAGCCAAACTTTCCCGCCAGATCATCCGATCAGGACGGAGGGAGGCGAGGGGACGGAAAGTCCCTTTGTGTTAGCAGCCTCCTGGATTATGCCGGACAGCTCTGAGAGGAGGGTGCTGACGGCTGGGAGCAGTGTGGTCGCAGACGTGGGAAGACCTGAGGTGGCTGAGCATCCGCTCGGCACTACGCTCTCCAGGAGGGAAGGGGCAGTGAGGTTGTTTCCAGCATTGCCTTTCTCGGAGGAAACATTAGATTCACTGTGTGACTCTGCATCAAAGAAAAGCGATGGCGTCGTCCCGCGCATAGCGTCCCGCCACAGAAAAACACTCAGCGGAGCTGCTGCCCGCATCACCTTTTTCGAAGGAATCGTCCGATTCACCGCAAGGAAAAAACGTTAGAAAAGGCGGTGGCGTCATTCATCTCTGAAGGCGTCTCATATAAAGCGTAAAAAGCGTATAAAGCGGCCCTCCACGGAAAAACACTCAGCGGAGCTGCTGCCCGCATCACCTTTTTCGAAGGAATCATCCGATTCACCGCAAGGAAAAAACGTTAGAAAAGGCGATGGCTTCGTCCAGCGAGTAGCGGCCCGCCACAGAAAAACACTCCTCGGCACTTACCTTGAACAAGGCTGCTCGTCTCTGCTTCTCCTCGGGGAGGAAGAGCTCACCGGGACGGCAGGAGGTTGGCATGGCGAAGACCCAGGCATCGTTAGCAAAAGTTGTGCCGGTCAAAGCTGGACAGCTTTTCCTTGTTCGCTCTTCTGTCAGTGCTAGCTAGCTGTCTGAAGAAAAAATGGGAGCCGATTACCCGGTCTCACCGTAATTTATACGGACCAGGGGTGAGGCCCACACAGCAGGTGGGCGTGGACTAAAGTTTTCAGTGCTGCACGCGAAGGGATAAACCCACTAGCGATAGCCTTAAAGGGCGAAGCCTATACAAAATAGAACAAAAGTTATGGTATTTACACAGAAAAAATTAAGAGAGGAAATAAAATTAAAATTATATAATCAAGAATTACAACAAGTAAAAAGTGTAAAATTTTTAAGAATATGGTTTGATGAAAAAATAATATGGAAAGAACATATACAGAAAATTATAGATAAATGTAAGAAAATATTAAACATGAGATGTTTGGCTGGCAGTGACTGGGGAGCAGATAGAGGAGCATTAAAACAAATATATTGGATTAGTTAGGGCAAATATTGATTATGGAAGCATCATTTATGGATCAGCAGCAAAAACTCTTTTGGAAAAATTAGACATAATACAACATCAAGCATTAAGAATCTGCACAGGAGCATTCAAAACCACACCAACGACAGCACTAGAAGTAGAAATGGAAGAAATGCCTTTAGATCTAAGAAGAACACAACTAAAAATAAATTACTGGATAAATTTACAAAGCAATAACCCGGATCATCCAACACTCGATACACTAAACCCATGCTGGGAAAAAGAGAAAGAACAAACAAAAAGCTTTGGATGGATCATAAGAAAGAAAACAGAAAAAGTTCAAATACATAGTTTAGAAATAAATCCACATCTGCCAATATCAATTATTCCACCCTGGATTTTACCAACAGCAACAGTAGACATGACACTAATGGAAAAGAAAAAGGACAGGACATACATCATAAATTCACACAAAGTACAGACTTATATAAACAATTATTATCAGTACATTCAAATATATACAGATGCATCAAAAACAAATGAAAAAATAGGAATAGCTTTTATAGTATCGGAATTTCAAATAAAAATAGGAAAACTAATCACTAACAACTCATCAGTATACACAGGAGAGATGTTAGCAGTTTTATTGGCAGTGCAGTGGGTGGAGGAAGTAAAACCATTAAAAACAATAATCTGTTCAGATTCAAGTTCCACATTATTCAGTTTAAAGCACAAACATTCAGACAGATATTTTATTAGAAGGAAAGGAAATGGCAGATAAGATGGCAAAGAAGACAACTCAAAATCACATTAACTTCACAGTAAATACAAGTAAATCAGAGGTAAAAAGTATCATCAAACAAAAACTGAAGAAAGAATGGCAGAAAATATGGGATGAAGAAAGAAAAGGAAGATGGTTTTATAGGATCAAAAAGACAGTAGGAGAAACGAGAACTGGAAGAAGGAGCAGAAAGGAAGAAAGATTAACAAGATTGAGACATACAGGACTTAATTATTCACTGTTTCAAATAAAGAAACACAATACAGGAAAATGTGAGCACTGTGGACAAGATGAAACTATACAACATGTGGTACTGGAATGTCAGAAATATGAGCAAGAACGAAGATTTATGAAGAGAGAGTTTGAAAAGATAAAATAAAAAATTAACATAACAGATGCACCACTACACAACTTAGAGAGCAAACGTATACAAATTATAATTAGATATTTTAAGAAAACAAAGTTGATTAATAGAATTTCAAACACATAAAGTTTACTCAAGCATACATATAGAATTATCCCATGATGAGCCACACTCTCTGTGGAGGTAATGCACACCTACAGTTTATTTGCCAACCGCCATTAAACTCATCAAGAAGAAGTGTCTGTGTTTGTGTCCAGGCAGAACTCCGGGAGGAGCAGCAGAGGTACCGACAGTATCTGTCTGAGGAGCTGCAGAGGAAGAGGGAGGAGGAGGAGGAGACAGAGCAGCTGCTGGAGGAGAAACTGAAGCAGGTCTGGATGAAGCAGGAGGACAAGAGACGGCTGGACAGGGAGGCCAGGAAGCATTTGATGGAGGAGGTGATGGAGGCCCGTCACCTACAGATCCAAAACAAATGTAAGAGAACGCAGCTGGTTTGAGAGTTCTGGTTTTGCTCCGAGCATCAGAGCCTTTGTCACCAGGGTTTTTAGGTTTCAGTCCAATATACTGGTCTACGATATTCACCTGAAACTTTCTTAAATCCTCCTTTAAATTAAAGGCCTGCTTTCCTTGAAGGAGAGTTTTAGACTATTATTGTCTGCTGATGACTCCTCCTTGAATCACCACCTTATGGTGGTGGAGAAGTTTGTGCGACTGAATAATACTAGGAGCTATGATGTTGTGGGCAATTGTAATTGCACCTGGTGCCGTCTCCCAAAGCAGACTGGTCCTAGGTGACAGGCCAGAAATGGACAGAATTTCTCAGTGCAGGCAAGGGGACAGAGGGAGTCCGATTCGATGGTCTCAGGATTACTTTTCTGTTATTTCTGGATGATGTGGTCCTGTTGGCATCATCATGGCATGATCTTCATCTCTCACTGGAGCAGTTTGCAGTTGAATGTGAAGTGGCTGAGACGAGAATCAGCACCTTCAAATCTGAGGCCATACCCTCTCGGAAAAGGGTGGATTGCTCTCGTTGGGTCGAGGGTGAGGTTCTGCTTCAAGTGAAGGAGTTCAAGTATCTTGTGATTTTGCTCATGACTGAGGGAATATTAGAGCGTAATACTGACAGACAGATTGACGCGATGTCAGCAGTATTGCAAGGATCGTGGATACAGGCAGTTGAAATGATTTTCCTCTACAGGGTAGCTGGACTGTCCCTTAGAGACAGGGTGAGAAGTTCAGTTATAAAAATGGTAAAATTAGATGTTTAAAGGTGTCAATTTATTATCTCAGCTGTACCAGAACCTGCCACTGGAGGGTGCTGTTGTACCTTCTTATTTTCAGGGTCAGAAATGAACACAAAAAAAAACCCTTTAACCTGTGTGTGTGTGTGTGTGTTTGCTTGTTTATGTTACTTTGTAAAGAACATTTTTGAACACATACTACATTGTGAGGACCAACTGCTCTTTGTGAGGACCAAAGCCCTGTCCCCATAAGGTTCAAGTGTTGTTGGTGGGTTAGGAGTTAGGTTTAGAACTAAGGTGTGAATTTAAGATGGGTTAGATTTAGGGTTAGGTATGTACTGGTAATGGTTTGGTTTAGAGTAACGGTCAGGGTTAGGCTATAGAAATTAATGAACAAGGAATGGAAGTCAATGCAAGGTCCATATAAAGATTGCAAGACAAACGTGTGTGTGTGTGTGTGTGTTCAGTGGATGTAAACCTCCAGAAACAAGCTGAGCTGCAGAAAGAAAAGGAAGAGCTGAATCAATTCGTGGAGGAGATGAACCTGAAGGACAAGGAGGAGAGGAGAAGGTCTGTAGGACTCCTGTTTATGTTGTTGTTTTTGTTTCCTGCCCTCTTTAACTCCTCACCCTCTCTGAGCAGCAGGAGGCAGGTGGCAGCAGAGTACCAGGCGGACCTTCAGGCTCAGATGGCGCAGCAGCAGCAGCTCCGCAGCGTGCAGGCGGTTCAGACCCTCAGAGAGGATCAGCATGGACTGATCCTGGAACAGCTCTACAGACACAGGAGGGACCAGATCCTGAACCAATCCGAGTCCAGCACCACCATCCATCCTTTCAGGAGAACTTTGATGTCTTCAGACTGAGAAACTCCTCAAACATCACAAATAAACACTTAAACTAAACCGGATCAACTTTTACTGAGTTCTGATCTGAAACATTACTGGATCAATATCCAGTACCAAAACAGAAGCCTTTGTGGTTACACTGGGTGATTAAAAACCTGATAACATGAGTAAAACATTAAATTGTTTCATTGGAACAAAAAAATTTGATCTTCAGTGATTCTGATTCAGGTTCTGTTTAAAATTTGATACCAAAGCTGAAGATCCAGTGGAAAGACCAGAGTCAGACACAAACTGATGCTTTTTCAAAACTGTGAATCAGAAATATGTTGCAAATCTGCAACATCCATCCATCCACTATCTTTTATCCACTTACCCTTTTCGGGTCACGGGCGTCACTGGTGCCCATGTCCAGCTATCACTGTGCGAGGGGCGGGGGACACCTGGACAGGTTTCAGTCCATCACAGGGACACAAGGGAAAAAACGAGACCAACAATGATTCACTCTCTCACTCACACCATTTAGAGTTATCAATCAGCCTATCATGCATGTTTTTGGTCTGTGGGAAGAAACCGGAGTACCCGGAGAAAACCCACGCATGCACGGAGAGAACATGCGAACTCTACCCAGAAAAGCCCTCAGCCAGGATTTGAACCTGGACAACCAGCTCTCTGAGAGGAGGCAGCTCTACCAACTGCACCATCATGCTGCCTAAATAAGTAAATAAACTTCTCAATATTTACCCAATGTTGTGGTCTTGAGATTGTCCAAGAGTAAATGATAGGACACACAAAATATGAAGCCCAGACAAGACTTTATCAATCAACTGAACAAATCAGCAAACTGGGAGCGGTTAAAACAAACAAAAAGAGAGAGAAGCCCAGAACCAGCCAGCAGTTCACCACTGGATTCGGGCCACTCCCCTTGCCCTATGGTTAGAGGACTAACCCTACAACCCATCCATCCATCCATTATCTTTTACCCGCTTTTTCTTTTTTGGGTCACGGGGGTCACTGGTGCCCATGTCCAGCAATCACTGTGCAAAAGGCGGGGGACACCCTGGACAGGTCTCCAGTCCATCACAGGGACACATAGAGACAAACAAGACAAACAACCATTCACTCTCTCACTCTCACCTAGGGACAATTTAGTTACCAATCAGTCTAACCCTACAACCGAAAACAAAATGATGGCCGGTAACTCCCAGTCCTAACAGTCAGCTCAACAAAATCTGTGACAAGGTGCAACCACTGGTATCTCCAACAGGAATGGGAGCGAGGCTGGAGAGAAAAGCCAGCAACCATCAGACCAACATGTCTCCTCTGGCCTCACTCACTCATCTAGCAGGGGAAGCTTGATCCTTTTAAGACCCCAAAATGGTTAAATCAGGTCATCTGGACTGTTTCATTTTGGAAGAAACTTTTCATCTTTCATCTGAAAGACTTCATCAGTCTGAGGCCTCTCAACCCAGATATATCATATAAATAGCACCTCCTTGATGTGTTTCAAGCCAGCCTGCTGTGGAATTCACAGAAACTTACTTTACACATGCAAAAAGGGACCATCCATCCAAAACAATCAATCATCATGTACAGCAATCAAATGTTTTAAGCATGATGGTCAACTTGCTACTCACAGAAACAGCCCGAGGACACCTGGCCAAAATGGTTCAGAAAAAGGTTTGAAAGCTCAATCATCCAGGTAGATACATATCATTAAAAAGGCTTAAATAATGTTGTCTGGACAGTTTCTTTAGAAGACAGATCTTGGTATTGTGGATCTTTGCCCCTTTTTTATTAGTGCTAAAGGTACATTCATTCATTCATTCAGTCATTCATCCTTTATTTAAACGGATAAGTCACATTGAACCTCAAAGACTCATTTCCAAGTGAGACCTGTTTGGACAAACAATAAAAGTGATAAACTGGACACATGTAGGAATTGGAGGTGAAAAAAATTCCTATCAGGCTTTTTTTTTCCTGCCTGAGAAGAAAAAACTGATATTAAAAAACACCTTGCACAAATAAGCACATAGTGACGTAGACATTCTGCAGAGGGGGACGACGAGAGCGGTGAGCGATGATCATAGATGTTCTCGAGGGCACTGTAAGAGTTCTGATAAAGATTTAATAATCTGTCAATGTCCTCCGGTGAGCTCCATAAACATTCTCAAGGTATGTCGAGGAATGGCCAAGAATAACGACTAAGAGAATCCAAGAGTCCTGAAATGATGACACAAAGTTTATTCAGCTGGTTTCGTCTGGTTATCAGTTGGAAATTCCTCGGGGAGGGGGTGGTGATCATCAGATCACATGTTCTCCAGGCGAATTCAGATAAGATGGCCTTCAAGACCAGCCAGGGGAGCCAAATTCAGATAAACACACAGTTGTTTTGGGGACAGGCAGAACTTAATGACATCTACCTTGAGTCTGTGTTGGTCCACTCGGTTCCGAAATGTCCAAATTATGTGGCCACACCGATGGAACGTGACTGAGTAAGATCCCTGAGATCTGATCCATTCTGTCCAAAGCATTTGACTCCGGGTACTTGAGACACGAGCTAAGCCATCATAAAGGCAAGCAGCGTGATTGGGTCCAACATTTGCTGCAGACGACTTCCTTGATTGTAGATAAAACCAGCAACCAGCCGAATCCAAAAAGCAGGAACCAGTTATTGTAAATCCAATTAAATATGCGTGTGTGCTGTGTGTGTGTGTTAGGGTTAAAAAAAAAAAACCTGCCACTGAAGGCACTGACCATCACTTTGTTTGCTCCCCTACATCCTTTCCACCAAGACTTTTGGAAAGGACTTATGAGAATAAAAACAATAAAGAGGCTAGTGGTCAAAGGTCAGAGGGTTAATGTTAGAGCAAAGGATACTGTGTTATGTTTACGGTCAGGGGTTCAAGTTATGCTTTGCAGTCAAGGTTAGGCTTAGGGTCAAAGGTCAGGGGTCCAAGTTATGCTTTGCAGTCGAGGTTAGGCTTAGGGTCAAAGGTCAGCGGGTTAGCTTTGGGGCAAGGGGTCCTGGTTTAGAGCTCCCCATGATTATGAACAGGAAAAAGCAGGTATAAATACAATATGTCAGAGTGGTTTATCTTTGCATCAACTTTCAGATCCAAAAGCCTCCCGGGCGCTTTCAATAGCTGCCCACTGCACCACCTGGTGGTGGATGGGTTAAATGCAGAGACTAATTTCGCCATTGTATGGAAACATACAGTGCTGAAATTGTGATGACATTATTATTATTATTATTATATACTATTATTATTTACATAATAAATTTTGTTTTCCACTCAGTGTCTCAAGCCTGAAAGTCTAAACAGATGTCATGTAATAACACAAACTGGACAATCAGTGGGAAAAACATTTATTTCATTATCTAACTCTCATTTTGCACTTTATATTTATAATTCAAAATAGATACCTAATGTATAAAGTAAGTACAGAATAAACTTTTAGTTCCCTTCAAGTGTCCTTTAAAAAATCAGTCAAAGCACAAGATAAATACCTGACAGGTAAAAAAAGTAAATAGCCTTTATAACATTCTGAACTGTGACCCACCACATCCAGTGTGTGCTGCTAAATACTGTACATGTGCACTTTTACTACAATTAAAAAATACAACTACAGTGGGGAAAATAAGTATTTAATATACTGCTGATTTTGCAAGTTTTTCAACCTACAAAGAATGGAGATGTCTCCAAAAAAATTCAATCTGGTCCTCTGGACATTCAAAAAAAAAAAAAAAAAAAAAAAGCAAAAAAAATGTAGAAACGTTTCGTCTTCATCCGAGAGACTTCCTCAGTCTGAGGTGCTGTATTCAGCTCAGTCTCTTAAATAGCACCTTCTCAGACCGGATCAACCAGTTTTGCTGCTGACAACCAAAACCAGCTGATCACATGCTCAAGAAGGACCATCAGCCTAACAATGGATCATTAGCACACTGATGGCTGTTTACTACTCACAGAGGGCTGAGTGATACTAGCAATCACAGCATTGTAAGAGGGGGACAGTTGAGGCCTCCGTGTTCAACTGTCCCCCTCTTAAGCCCCCAGTATACTGCTGCGTACATCCATACGCAGAGGTACGCACGTACTTCTGCGTACGTACGTGCGTACCCTCCGTGCAAAGCTCACATTTTTACGAACGTTACGCGGTGTCGCACAATAAACTGCCCAGCGACGGACTGTTTTGTATGCAACACTGATGTATTAAATTCCCCTTCTTCATCTCTGATCTGGCCTTTTCTTTTGTTTTGTTGTCAAGAGACAGTGATCTCTTCCTCCTCCGTTGATGCCATGACTGAAATGGTGAGAAATGGAGAAATTTGTCATGAGCGAATTAAACTCAGGTCCAGCGTGGCTGCGGGAGGGTCTGGAGATTTCCTGGTGGGCTGGTCTGAAGTGTGGGCTGTAGAGCCAGCACACTCTGTTTTTTTTTTATTTTTTAGATCTTTTTATTAACAACATATAAACACAGAACACCGCTGCGTGAGGCTGCCAGCGCTCGCTTTTTTTTTCTTTTTTCCGACCTGTCAATCAATCCAGTAGGCGTGTCAGCAAATGACCAATCGGCGACCTCAATTTGTCCCGAAGGTAAACGTCCCTTGTCTGTGAAGCTGCTCTGCAGCTGCTCAGGGTGTACACTGGAGTATGAAGTCTGAACCCTCTGCGTACCGTACACACATACGTACGCGTGAACGGACATACGTGGCAGTTTACTGGAGCCTTTACACTGCTGTGATTGCTAGTATCACTCAGCCCTCTGTGAATAGTAAACAGCCATCAGTGTGCTAATGATCCATTGTTAGGCTGATGGTCCTTCTTGAGCATGTGATCAGCTGGTTTTGGTTGTCAGCAGCAAACTGGTTGATCCACTCTGAGAAGGTGCTATTTAAGAGACTGAGCTGAAAACAGCACCTCAGACTGAGGAAGTCTCTCGGATGAGAGATGAAACATTTCTATATTTTTTTGCTTTGTTTTGTTTTTTGTTTTTTTTTTAATGTCCAGAGGACCAGATTGAACTTTTTTGGATTTTTCTACCTGGATTATTGAGCATGCATCAGAATAATGGAGAGGTCTGTAATTTTTATTGTAAGTACACTTCAACTGTGAAAGACAGAATCTAAAACAACAACAAAAAAATAAAAAATCACAGTATACGATTTAAAAAATGTTTTTTTTTGCATTTGATTCCATGAAACAAGTATTTGATACAATAGAAAAACAGAACTTAATATTTGGTACAGTAACCTTTGTTTGCAGTTACAGAGGTCAGGCGTTTCCTTTATTTCTTGACCAGGTTTGGACTGCAGCAGAGATTTTGTCCCACTCCTCCACACAGATCTTCTTCAGATCTTTCAGGTTTGGGGGCTGTTGTTGGGCAACATTAAGTTCCAGCTCCCTCCAAAGTCTTTCTATTGGGTTCAGGTCTGGAGGCTGGACAGGCCACTTCAGGACCTTGAATTGCTTCTTATGGAGCCGCTCCTTAGCTTCCCTGGCTGTGTGTTTGGGGTCATTGTCATGCTGGAACACCAGCCACGACCCATCTTATGCTCTTACTGAGGGAAGGAGGTTGCTGGTTAAAATCTCACGATACATGACCCCATCCATTCTCCCTTCAATACAGTGCAGTCAACCTGTTTGCAGGAAAGCACCCCCAAAGTATGATGTTTTCACCCCCATGCTTCACGGTTGGGACGGTGTTCTTGGAGTTGTACTCATCCTTCTTCTTCCTCCAAACACAGCAAGTGGAGTTGATATCAGAAAGCTATTTTGGTCTCATCTGACCACAAGACCTTCTCCCATACCTCCTCTGGATCATCCAGATAGTCATTGGTGAACTTCAAACGGGTCTGGACATGAGCTGGTGCGAGCAGGGAGACCTTGTGTGCCCTGCAGGATCTTAACCCATGAAAGCATAATTTTACTAATGGTCCTCTTTGAGACTGTGGTCCCAGCTCTCTTCAGGTCATTGACCAGGTCCTCCTGTGTAGTTCTGGGCTATTCCTGACTTTTCTCAGAAACATCCTTACCCCACAAGGCGAGGTCTTGCATGGAGCCCCAGACTGAGGAAGGTTGGCAGTCATCTTGTATTTCTTCCATTTTCTAATCATTGCGGCAACAGTTGTTTCCTTCTCATTAAGCTGCTTGTCTATTGTCCTGTAGCCCATCCCGTTTAGTCCCGGTGTCCTTAAACAGCTCTTTAGTCTTGGCCATGGTGGTTTGATTGATTGGACAGGTGTCTTTTATACAGGTAATGAGTTTAAACAAGTGCATTTGATACAGGTAATGACTGCAGAATAGAAGGGTTTCTTAAAGAAAAACTAACAGGTATGTGAGAGATAATTATTGTTGGTTGGTAGGTAATTAAATACATATTTCATGCAATGAAATCCACATTATTAAAAAAATCATACAATGTGATTTTCTGGAATTTTTTTTTAGATTCCGTCTCTCACAGTTGAAGTGTATCTACGATAAAAAACAGACCTCTCCGTTCTTTGTAGGTGGGAAAATGTGTAAAATCGGCAGCGTATCAAATACTTATTTTCCCCACTGTATGTTGTACAATGGTTGCCTTTATAAAAAAGTTGACAACTGCATGCTGAACATAGATCCCAAAACCACCAAAATTAATTAAAGCTAAGCAAATAAAACTATTTGAACTCTAACAAAGTTAAGTTAGGTCCTCTAGACAGTTTCTTTTTGTTGAAAGGTTTCATCTTTCATCCAAATGACTGCATCAGTCCAAGGAGCTAACAAACTTGGTCTTATAAATAGCACCTTCTCATAGTGGATCAACCAGTTTGATGGTGCTCAGGTGGGCTCTGTAGTCCACCCTCTCCCCCGCCGACTTGTTTGAGGCAGTCAAGGCCAAAGTGGTTGACCCACTATGAGAAGGTGCTATTTATAAGACTGAGTTTCTTGAGGTTCATCAGACTGAAGATGTCTTTTGGGTGAAAGATGAAAAGTTTGAACAAAAAGAAACCGTCCAGAGGACCTGACTTAACTTTGTTGAATTTTTCAACTTGGATTATTGAAAACATGAATCAGGATATTTGAACTTTACTTATAATTACAAAATCATGTATAAATATCTACAACAATATAGTAAGAATTGACAAGAAATTAAATGTGTTTGATAATGAGAGGAGGCAGAAGTTTGGGTGAAGTCCAGATGAGACATGGTGGCAGTTTTTCGGAGTAGGCTCTGGGTGTGGTCTGAGGGGGGCATTGGAATAATGGACCCATAAACATCATCATGTCCTTCCCTCGATTCGCCCCGGGTCAGGCTGTGATTGTCTCCTCATCTGTCCAGCTCACACACTCCTCATCAGCTCACATATGACTGAGAAATTTTTCCAGGGGGGTGGGGGGTGTCTGTTTGAGCCAGGTTACATTGCATAGTTATCAAAGCTTCCCAGGTACTCCAGAGCAGCCCTGTAGCATAGTAGGTACTGGTCCTATAGGCATAAAAAACAGACAAATCAATAAAATTTAATATACCAGCCAAAAAAAAACCCAAAATAAATATGCCACTTTAACATTATGGAGGAGTTTGAGTACCTCCATATCCTTTGTTTCTGTTGTCTGAGCCATTAGGACCCTGTTTGTATCTCCAAGGGCCAACTATGTACAGACACTGTGGTCAAGAAATCCCGACAAAGACTCTACTTCCTAAGAAGATTAAGGAAGTTTGGTACAAACACCAGCATCCTCACTAACTTCTATAGGAGCATCATGGACAGCCTGCTCACAGGCTGTATTACAGGCTGGTATGGGAACTGCACCAGTCAGAGCCAGAAAGCTCTAGAGAGGGTGGTGCAAACATCAGAGGACATCACTGGTAGCAGTCTCCACACCATCCAGGACATCTACCAGAGCCGATGTCTGCGTAAAGCATGCAGCATCATTAAGGACCACACCCACCCAGCACAAGGACTCTTCTATCTACTACAGTAGGGGTGGGGGTCCCAGCATAGCCACCAGGTGATGCAGCCTTTTGGTGCCTTTACATCTCTTATGCTGCACCAGGAAGGCAACAAGGGCCTGCATTCTGCATTATTCAGACATGGACCCTGCTCTGACATGTCAGATATTTTGTGATCTCACCTGTTTGGGTTGGTGGCCACGCGCGTCCGCTGAGCGCAGCGGCTGAACGTCCATTTGGGCTTGATGGATCGCTGGCAGTAGTCATCTGCAGCTTAACTGAACTTTTTACCTCTTTCGAGGCCGGTCAGCGCACGGTCAAATGGCCGCGTGTGGCTGGTGAATGTATGGCAAGCCATGTTGCCATATAATTGGACCGTCAGCTGCACGCGTCCGCTGATGCAATCAAAAGCCCGACACCGGCCAGCCCGCACATTGAGCACATTATTACGGCCCGGCCCAGCCGGTTAGAAATGACAGCTCTACTGCAGCTGCAGTCCTGGGTACAACACGAAGCTGATCAGGGTTTCACCTAAATATACGTGTTTTTATATCAGCGGACCAAAGAGTGACAAAATATTTTACTCAAGTAAAAGCACAGCTACTCTGTTGAAACTTTACTCAAGCAAAAGTAACGTTACTTGTATAAAATCTACTGAATTAAAAATATTGTCATTAAATATTACTTTGAGTAAAAGTTATTTTTCTAGCCTGAGAGTGTCTCCTGCAGCACAAAAAGGACAAGAGAAACATTTTTTCAAATGAGCTCTTAAATGAAATAAAGCCTCAAAATGCATTACGCAATAACAAATAAAACATGTCCACACCTGATATTTAAAGCCTTAAAGAGAATAAACTGTCCTTTCAGTTCAGACCACAAAGCTGCTGGTTAAAACATTCTTCAACTACCTGCCCAGCTCCAGAGGAGCAGGGAGGCTCACAGAAGGTCCAAAAACTGAAGGCTGTGCAGCAGGTAGGCAAACTCTAAGTAAAAAAGTTATCCTTGCCCAACAGTAAGCTTGGTAGTTTTAGACTCAGTTCTGTATTTTTGTCCAACAAGTGTTTGACTAGAAGTGTACAAGTGATAGAACTAACGAACTAACTGTAATATAAAAAGTTTCATGTTGACACTGATACATTCACAAAGGCATACCTCTGTCTGGACCATGGCTGGCCTCTGGGTTCGAAGAATCTTCACAGTCTGGAAGACGTCAACCACTCCTTCATGCCTCATCCGCTCCAGCATGATGCTGATGGTGATGAACACACCGGTCCGTCCAACACCCGCACTGATCAACACAAACAAGGTAAGACTTTAATAAACTACTGTGACCACAACATCCAGCAGAGGTGAGCGCTTCAGGGAACAATTAAAACGCAGCGGTCTCCCCGTGACCCGTGTTGGAGCACAATAGGCTGCATAGTCATACACAAAATGTTTGTAATGAGGTTGTAGAGGGTTGGTTATGGTGGCAGCTTAATAGAATAGAAACAGCCTTTATTGTCCCACGGATGGGAAATTCAAGTGTAACAGCAGCAACAGATAAAAAGATTAAAAAAAGATTTCACACAAAAGTTCCTAAATGTTAGGTGTAATGCAGGTGTAAGAAACGCTGTGTGTTCAGGTGCATTAAAGTTTAAACGTCCTTAAAACCCCACACCTTATTGTCCTCAAGCTTTGTGAGAAACATCCTTTAAATAATGCAGGTCTGTAGTGCATTATAGTTCAAATGTCTTTAAAACAGATGAATTTACACAAACTTTGTGAGAAACATGGTTTAAATGGAATTAAAGTAAGGAAACCTAGATGAAATGTTGTTTTTGTGCACTAGTGTACAATTTTTTGGACACTGGCGCACGTGCGCACGCACATGCACACACACTATGGTCCTATATCCTTTTAAATCATGGAATATGAAATAATGTTTCAACACTATCTTTTTATACAAGCAGCATCCAGTTGACAACACCTTCTCTGTCCATGTTCTGTTGCTGGCATGTGTGCATTTTATGCACCATGACAGAATGTATTGCATCTTAATGTACTGTAAAGTATAGTATTGTGTACTGCAACTGGATTTGAATTGGACTTTTCTGGACTTGTTATTTTATGTTGTATAGAACCCTAAGATAACTTGTTGTGAATTGGTCATTCATGAATAAACATAATTTTAATAACTTACCCCACAGTGTGTTATTTGTCAACTTCTGTTAAAATACATTTAAAGTACACAAAACTACTGCAAACTAAAAGTCACAATCCTCACGGTCTCATCAGGACCAGTTGTTGTTTAACGGACTGCTGTTACAGACAAAATCAGTGAGTAGATCAGAAAAATTACCTGCAGTGCACAGTGATTGGACCATCCTGCCCAAACTGCTCTTTAGTTTTATGAACTTGGCCAATAAAGTCGACAAAAGCCTCCCCAGTTTTGGGCACTCCTTGTTCCGGCCAGTCTGTGAACTGGAACTGCCTGATGGTCCGTGACTGGCCATCCTGATGAAGGTGCAGAGAAATAATGAGACTAAGACACTGTCATTCCCCAATCTGTTATGGAAGCATGATCCATAGTGTACTTCCGGGTCGCACGGATCGCAGTTGTTTATGAATAAAAACTGTCTTAATTTAATTAGAAAAGTATGTGCTCTATCTTCAATAATCTTGATGTAGCTGATTTACGTCACTCGTATTTCCGTTACAAACTATTGGTTAAGATGATATGTGACGTGTTAGACCTGACCAGCCTGGGCTGAATGAGAAAACCCTGCAAGATACAGAATTAATTATTTCCATGATGAAACAGCACCGCTCAGTGGTGAAGCTGCATATCATTTTAACCAATGACACAAATGTGTCAATGATTTTAACAGAAATACAAGTGGCGTAAATTAGTAACATGAAAATCGACAGATGGAGCACATACTTTTTCTAAGTAAATTAAGACAGTTCTTATTCATAAACGGAATTATACCAGTACATTTTCCTTAATCTAGCGTGTTGAACGGTGATCCGTGCGACCCGGAAGTATTCCTTTTAGTGCATGCGTGAAAAAGCTAGACTACCGATCGGGTTCAGCAACAGATTGGGTAACCACAGACACGTCCCTCATACACAACGCCACAGACAGTTCCTGTTTAAAACAAGGACCAGTGTTGTGAAGTGACATAAATGTTACTACTAAGAGAACATTTTCCATCCCACTCATCGGCCAGTGCTTTTTATGAAGAGTAGTCCTGTAATGCACAGTGGTACAATGTTTAAAAAGTCAGAGTTGCTTTTATTCAGTGCCATCCATCGAAGAGAAAGGGTGACGCGCCATTGCCTTTCAGTGACTGGCGATAAGAAACTGAATGAGGTTTTCTGTTTTCAGTACCAGAACATACCCTGGCATCTGTGACTTTAAACTCTCTCAGGATGTACTGGGGCATGTTGTATTCAGCCACTGGATCCACAACAAAATACTGATAGCGGGCAGAATGCTCAGCTGGCCAGTACTGATGGCACATTTCCTACAAAACAAACAAAGCAGAGCAAATAATTAGAATGCTTCATTATTTACCCAAAGGTTTGGCATATCGATTCAGAGGTAAAACAGCAAAAATGAATGTAGAAAAAACAAAGTATTAAAACAAAAAGGCTGGTAAGTAGATGGTACTTATGAGGTACAGGGTCAGTAACAGTATGTACCAGCTACTCATCCAATATGTACCATGTATGTACCATCTAAGTAACAGCTACACACCCAGTAAGTACCAGCTACAAACCCAACAACTGCTTGCTACTTACAGCATTAGATGTACAGCAAGTTGTATAAAAATGTAGGTGTCTCTAAGAAAATGACAGCGAGTCATGCTGCTGTTCCTAAATATCTGAAAGTCTCCACCATCATTCTTATTACCAAAAAGCCTAGGATAGACTGGCTCAGACACTCCTAAAGCCATAAATATGTTTGGAGCAACTAGTCTCCAGCACCTCCAGGATGGTCCCCCTCCTTGTTTAAATCCCCAACAGTTTGTTTAAACGGTGAATCGGTCCACAGTATGTGCCATCGCTGTGACCCTTCAAAAAATGCTGAGTCATCTGGAAAACTAAAAGAACTACATGAGGATACTTCTCATGGACAACAGCTCAACATTCAGTACAATCATTCCACATATTCCTATTCACCAAGTTGTTCCAACTACAGATCTCCCTCCCAACCAGCATCTGGATTAAACAATTAATCTTGCACCTCTGCAATCTGTCAAATTTGTCCCCATCTCTTTTCCTCACTCAATCCTACTAACTCTCTGGGATGTGAGCTGTAAACCTAGAATATATGACTGTTCTATAACTGGATTTACTAGTCTGTCTATATTCCAACTCTCACCTGTGATCATGAAGTTTGAATCATGAATGAAAAATTAAATCCTGCATACAAGCAGCCGGAATGTGCGTTCCTTGTAGGGTGGCCAGGCTCGGCCTCAGAAATTAGGTGAAGAGCGTTGTCATCTGGATGGAACTCTGAGCAGATCCACTATTTCTTAGCATCAAAATAAATAAGCTGAGGTTGTTTGGGTATTTTATTAGAGTGCCTCCTGGATGCCTCCCTTTGGAGATTTTCCAGGAATGTCTCACTAGGAAGGTATCCTGGGCAGACTAGAGAGATTATATAAATCTTATCTGGTCTGGGAGTGGCTCAGGTTCCACCAGGAGGGGCTGGAGACTGTCATTAGAGTGAGGGGTGTCTGAATCTGTCTCTTGGACTTGGTGCACCTGCACCTGACTATGGATAAGTGGTAGAAGATATTCCTTTTTTCTTTCCTTTGGAATTGTAGTATTGTGCAAAGTTTTTATATATTTTGTGTACATATATATTTAATGGTGCACTGTTTTTGTGTTGAGCGCCAACAATTTTGTTCTACACTTACAAGAAATGGCAACATCTATTCTGTTCTATTCTATTCCATGTTACTTCCAAAATAAATAGAAAGAAGCTAACTTTCCTTGAAAATGCAGAGTACATGTCACAGTTCTTGAGTTTTCAAGCCATTTGCAGGCAGGCAAGCGAAGGCAGGAGTTTAAAATAAAAATACTTTTATTAGGGGGCAGCAAAACTACAGGCAGGATCCAGGCAGACAAGAACAGGATGGGTTCTGACTCAGACAGATACCTGGCACAAGAAACAGAGGAGGATCGTGTTGTCTGTGCAGAACAGAATCACACAAGAAGCAGAATGAAAAGTATAAGAAGCAGAATGAAAAGTATAAGAAGCAGAATGAAATAAACACAAAAAGCAGAAAAGGGGAAAACAGAAATACAAGACAGACCACGGACAGAGTGTGTCAGTACATGGTTAGTGCTGATAATCACTGACATTTGTGGAATAAGCTGAAAATAAGTCATTAAACTTAACAATCAGAATAAAGCTAAAATTAACAAAAAAAATTGCTAAAAACTAAGATTAGAAAAACAGTAGATAAAAGCTATAATTAGAAAAAAAGTATGCAAAAGCTCTAAGTTGGACAGAAGTTAAGATTAAAAGAAAAAAAAATCAGTAGATAATAGTTAAAATTAACAAAATAATGACTAGAATTAAAATTGACAGAACAAAGACTACAAGCTAAAATTAATAAAACAGTAGCTAAAGTGTATAACAGAAAAGTGTTCTGAAGTAGATTGTAAAGATCACAAAGTTTTCAAGGAGATGAATAGTTTATTAATTCTAATAGAATCCATCCATCCATCCATTTTCTTCCGCTTATCCGGGGTCTGGTCGCGGGGGTAGCAGCCTAAGTAGGGAGGCCCAGACTTCCCTCTCCCCAGCCACTTGGTCCAGCTCCTCCGGGGGAATCCCGAGGCGTTCCCAGGCCAGCCGAGAAACATAGTCCCTCCAGCGTGTCCTGGGTCTTTCTCTGGGCCTCCTTCCGGTGGGACGTGTCCGGAACACCTCACCAGGGAGGCGTCCAGAAGGCATCCTAAACAGATGCCCAAGCCACCTCAACTGGCTCCTCTCGACGTGGAGAAGCAGCGGCTCTACTCCGAGTCCCTCCCGGATGATCAAGCTTCTCACCCTGTCTCTAAGGGAGAGCCCAGACACCCTGCGGAGAAAACTCATTTCGGCCGCTTGTATCCGAGATCTTATTCTTTCGGTCACAACCCAAAGCTCGTGACCATAGATGAGGGTGGGAACGTAGATCGATCGGTAAATTGAGAGCTTCGCCTTTTGACTCAGCTCTCTCTTCACCACGACAGACCTGTACAGTGCCCGCTTCACTGCAGATGCTGCACCTATCCGCCTATCGATCTCACGCTCCATTTTTCCCTCATTCGTGAACAAGACCCCAAGATACTTGAACTCCTCCACTTGGGGTAGGACCTCCTCCCTGACCCGGAGAGGGCACTCTACCCTTTTCTGGCTCAAGACCATGGCCTCGGATTTGGAGGAACTGATCTTCATCCCGGCCGCATCGCATTCGGCTGCGAACCGCTCCAGCGAAAGCTGTAGATCACGATCTGATGAAGCCAATAAGACCATATCATCTGCAAAAAGCAGAGACGCAATCCTAAGGCCACCAAAACGGATCCCCTCAACACCTTGGCTGCGCCTAGAAATTCTGTCCATAAAAGTTATGAACAGAATCGGTGACAAAGGGCAACCTTGGCGGAGTCCAACTCTCACCGGGAACAAGCCCGACTTACTGCCGGCGATGCGGACCAGGCTCTGACACCGGTCATACAGGGACCTAACAGCCCGTATCAAAGGGCCTGGTACCCATCAGCTGCTTCCGGGGTCCCACAGGCCAAAAAGGCCCGATAGGACTCCTTCTTCAGCCTGACAGCATCCCTCACCGACGGTGTCCACCATCGGGTTCGAGGGTTGCCGCCGCGACAGGCACCGACAACCTTGCGGCCACAGCTCTGGTAAGCCGCCTTGACAATAGAGGCACGAAACATGGTCCACTCAGTCTCAATGTCCCCCACCTCCCTCAGAACATGTTCGAAGTTCTCCCGAAGGTGGGAGTTGAAACTCCGTCTCACAGGAGACTCTGCCAGATGTTCCCAGCAAACCCTCACAATACATTTGGGTCTGCCAGGTCTGACCGGCATCCTCCCCCACCATCGGAGCCAACTCACCACCAGGTAGTTATCAGTTGACAGCTCCGCCCCTCTCTTCACCTGAGTGTCCAAGACATGTGGCCGCAGATCAGATGAGACGATGACAAAGTCGATCATCGAACTGCGGCCTAGGGTGTCCTGGTGCCAAGAGCACATATGGACACCCTTATGCTTGAACAAGGTGTTCGTTATTGACAATCCATGACGAGCACAGAAGTCCAACAACAGAACACCACTCTGGTTCAGATCAGGGGGGCCGTTCCTCCCAACCACACCCCTCCAGGTCTCACTGTCATTGCCCACATGAGCATTGAAGTCCCCTAGCAGAACAAGGGAGTCCCCAGAAGGTGCACTTTCCAGTACCCCCTCCAAGGACTCCAGAAAGGGTGGATAATCTGAACTGCCGTTTGGTGCATAAGCACAAACGACAGTCAGAACTCGTCCCCCCACACGTAGGCGGAGGGAGGCCACCCTCTCATTCACCGGGGTGAACCCCAATACACAGGCACCAAGTTGGGGGGCAATAAGTACGCCCACGCCTGCTCGGCGCCTCTCACCAGGGGCAACTCCAGAGTGGAAGAGTGTCCAGCCCCTCTCAAGGAAACTGGTTCCAGAGCCCGAGCCATGCGTAGAGGTGAGTCCGACTATTTCTAGCCGGAACCTCTCAGCCTCACACACCAGCTCAGGCTCCTTCCCCACCAGTGAGGTGACATTCCACGTCCCAATAGCCAGCTTCTGTAGTCGAGGATCAGACCGCCAGGGTCCCCGCCCTCGGCCACCACCCATCCCACATTGCACCCGACCCCTTTGGCCCCTCCCACAGGTGGTGAGCCCATGGGAAGGGGGACCCACGTCTCCTCTTCGGGCTGTGCCCGGCCGAGCTCCATGGGTAAAAGCCCGGCCACCAGGCACTCGCCCGCGTGCCCCACCTCCAGGCCTGGCTCCAGAGTGGGGCCCCGGTGACCCACGTCCGGGCAAGGGAACACTAGGTCCATTTGTGTTTCTCATCATTGGGGTCTTTGGGCTGCACTTTGTCTGGTCCCTCACCTTTAAACATCTTTTTCTAATAGAAAAAGATGTTTAAAATCTTACTTCCAACATACAAAGCTCTCAACAACCTAGCTCCATCTTATAGTAAATAACTTATTGTTTCATGTTTTCCTAACTGAGCACTTCGCTCTAGACTGCAGGTTTGCTTGTGGTTCCTAGAGTTGCCAAAAGCAGAATGGGAGGCAGAGATTTCAGTTTCTGTCTGTGAGGCTGACACCATGTCTACTTTAACACTAGGCTAAAGACTTTCTTTTTTTGATAAATCCTTTAGTTACAGTTGGCTTGGATTTCCTGAGCTATCCCGTAGTTCTGCTGCTATAGACATAGACTGCTGGAGGACAACTGGCCACATCTACCCAGTCTGCTTCTGCCTTTACTCACTCTAATCTTCATGTTTGTATTTGTAATTATTTATTTCATTAATATATAAACAACTTCCATACCATAGAAACCACACCTGGACCATAGAAGCTGCATCTGGACCAGTCATTCTATTTGTCTCCCTTTCCTGTCCTCCCTTCCTCAAGCCAGTCGAGGCAGATGGCTGCCCATCCTGAGCCTGGTTCTGGTTTTACTGAAGGTTTCTTGCTGTTCAAATGGAGTCATATCTTTCCACTGTTACCAATGAGATGATCAGGATGTGAGGTTGTGATGATTTAATTATTCAGCAAAACTGTCTGACTTCTTTAGTTAAATAACTTTTCCTAGTTGTCATTTTATGTCTGCAATGTTTTTGTGCCCCGAGATGACATTTGCTGTGATTTGGCCCCATTTAAATAAATTTACTTAAATTGAATAGAATTATAAGCATAAAATCACAAATACTGTTGATATATTTTCACTCATACAGTCAAAAGCATTTCAGTAGGCAATGGGGTATAGTGTCTTGCCAAAGGACACAGACACACAGCAAGGGCTGTGATTGAACTCCAGACCCTGTGATTGGAGGACAACCATTGTGCCTACTTGGCCAAGCTGACTACCAAGTGTGAAGGCTGACTTATTATTTGCGTTGTACGAACGTAAAAGCTGTTCTTAAGTTAAGCTGCTGAAGTTAGCTCATTGTCGCAGTAGTTCATACGTCAGGGGAAGACAGAACTGTTGTGAAAGAAAGGTCGTGCTCTTTACCCGTCCCATTTCGTGCAGTTTGGTGAGCATGACCACGATGGTGGAGTTATGTTCCCACAACATTTTCCACAAGTCCTCTGAGGTTTCAGCTAATGGGCCCTGCGTGGCAATATATGCTCTCTGGTGCCTGTAGAATATAAAAGACAGACACAGGTTTACCCTTAGGGTTTATTTAGATTAAAATACAGCATAATCACCTTTCTAGACACTCAAAGACACTGCACAGTTAAAAATAAAACAAACAAAAAAAAAAACAACAGAAAAAAAAAAGGTACAGTAACAGTAAGTGTTCAAAACATGAAACTAGAAGGTGCACCTGAGTAAAATGAAGGATAAGCTGATCTAAAGAGATGGGTTTTCAGACCAGCTCTTAACAGTGACAGAGGTGATGTTTTGTAGGTCAGAGGGTCCAGCGTCTAGGAGCAGAGAAGCTGAAAGCCCTGCTCCCTATGGTGGTGAGGCTGATCTGAGGGGAGCGGGAGGGGGTGGACACATGCAGAAGGTCAAATAAACACACAATGGTCAGATTGTGGATGGCTTTAAAAGTGTAAAGTAGAATTTAGAAGATGATGCCAGATTTCACTGGGAACCAGTGAAGCTGATTAAGGGCAGGAGTGATATGATCGTAGGAGGGGTTTTGGGTGAGGACACGGGGCAGCAGAGGTATGAACCATATGTAACTCATGAAGGAACTTATGTGGGAGGCCAAAAAGAAAGGAACTACAATAATGGATGTGGGATGTCACTAAACTATAGACAAGGATGGCAGGGGCATGAGAGGCGAGAGAAGGACGGAGATGGTTAATGTTATGTAGGTGGAAATAAGCAGACCGAGTGACATTATTGATGTAGGACATGAAGGAAAGAGAGGTGTTGGGAATGACAAGGGAGGGGGGGGGGAGCTGTGAGTTGCTGAGTGGGAGGAGAAAAAGCTCAGATTTTTGGTACAGACAAGGATAAATTATATTTTGTCCCTGTTTAGTTGAAGAAAATGTTAAGAAAACCAACAATTTAGCTCACTTAGGCAATCAACGAGGACAGAAGGTGGGAGAGTAGGGTTGGGTTTGATAGACAAGTAGAGCTGGGTGTCATTTGCATACAGAAAATATATAATAAATAATAAATACAGAAAATATGACCTAGGGAAGAAGCTAGATGATGAAAAGGAAGGGCCCAAGAACAGAACCTTGGATGCTCCAGTAGTAGTACACTGGTAGAGACAGGGGAAGACCAGTAAGTGTGAAAGATTAGTTAGAATGAAGTTCAGAAAGCTCTAAAGTGGATAAAGAGGACAACAGTTGAACTTTGTGTCCTTGTGTCCCGAGTTCTCCGATTCCTGCCTGCACTTCGATTCTACCAAACATCAGAAACGTAACAGAAGGTCCGTGCATTCTGTTACATTTCTGATGTTTGATAGAACCCAGGTACAGGCAGGAGCCGGAGAACTCGGGATTAAAGAAGAATATATATTTAATAAAAGAAATACAAAAGCTGACATGCAGCAAACTTACATAATCCCTGGGGAAGACACAGAAGGAAACAGAACCAGAACTCATTCAGGACAATGTGCAGACACGGGGAACATAGAGACGCAGAAATACCAACGCTAACGACAGACAATGACAAACAAATCACAAAAAAGCAGAGCAGAGAGCAGGAGAAGTCAACACTGCGCTTTAACTGGATGCACAATGGCGTCAGGCTCTACAGATGTTGACACATCTGAAAATTTGGTACAAAGAGGGGCAGCACGTCCGTTGTTTGGAATTATTTTGTCTATAAAAAAGAAGACGCTGCGCAGTGACATGTATTGTGCAGAACCTGTCTTGCTGCTGTTGCTACCTCTTGAGGTAAGACCACGAATCTTTATCAACACTTAAAAAAACATCACATAGCCATTTACGACAATTCCATGGCTAGAATGCCAACGCCCAGTGCTTCAACTTAAAGTAAACTAAGTACCAGCCGACAGGGATCACTGACCGAACTGTTTGAAGGTGTTACTACTTATGCACATAATTTGAAACGGCACGTGGAAATAACTCGAGCAATAACGGAGTTCATAGCGAAAGACATGATGCCCATTAATATAGTGACCAGGCCTGGGTTTACGGCTATGGTGAACACAATGGATAAGCGGTACAGAATGCCCTCGTGCACACACTTTAGCCAAGTTGCTATTCTGGAGCTATACAAAATATGCAGAAACAGAGTTGTAGCGGAGCTGAAACAGTGGAGTCTTTTGCAACTGAAACTGATTTATTGCTTGTGTTCGTGGATGAGATACATGAGAAGAAGACATTGAAAAATAATAGCATATTACATCACAATCGCAATACTGAGGTAAAAAAAAAAAATCGCAATTAGAATATTTCCCAAAATCGTTCAGCCCTAATAAAAATTATGTTTGTCTGTAGTTCTTATGGGCCCACCTGTATCCATCAATGAAGCTGGCATTGATGTAGTCAGAGCCTTCCACTCCTCTGATTGGCTGCAGGGAGACGCGGGTGGATTCAAAAGGCAAATTGTTGAGCAGGCGGTTCTTGAACTTGTTACACGGCAGGTTGGCACTCAGAAATCTTGCAGTTTGGGATTTATAGCTCGATGTAGATGTTAGTTTCTGCAGCAAGAAGATAAAATTGCATCGTCAGAAACATTAGAGGTGACAGTGCAACTTCACAAACAACCTTCTAACATTCAACAAAATTTTCTAGTTATACTGTTAAATAAAAATAATGCTGTTTAATAGTTGAAGCAAACAGTCCATGTTGTAGCATGATGCATTTAAACATGAAGACAAAAAAGTTCAAGCAACACCTTGTACAGGATATTTACTATGAGCAGAGTGCAAGGGTTTATGCCAATTACCACCAAAACAAGAAGAGTTCCCATAAAAGTGCTCACCCCCCTGTATGTTTTATGCTTTATTTACTTTCATATAACATAAATTATCTTCTTTAAAAATAATCAAAAATAAAAATGTCAATGTGAAAGTGAAAATCCTACAAAGTAAAACTAATAATTAAAAAAAAAGTAAAATTAGTGACTGACAAAAAATCATCCACTTGAAAGTGAGTGTCTCTCCATTCTTCTTCTTTCAAAGGGTCTAATTATCTCATTCCTGATCTTATCCATCCTTGTCACTCCTAAGGAGAACCTCAACATCTTCATTTCTGCCACTTCCAGTTCTGTCTCCTGTCTTTTTGTCCATGTCTCTGTCTCCAGATCATACAACATAGCTGGTCTCACCACTGTCTTGTAAACTTTTCCTTTGACCTTTGCTGACACACTTTTGTCACAAATCACTCCTGAAACTTTTCTCCATCCTCTCCATCCTGCCTGGACTCTCTTCTTCACCTCTTTACCACACTCCCCATTTTCCTGGACAGTGGACCCCAAGTACTTGAAGTCCTGCACCTTTGTGACCTCTGCTCCTTGTAGCCTCACTGTTCCACCTCGTCCCTCTCATTCACATGTACTCTGTCTTACTACGGCTGACTTTCATTCCTCTTCTTTCAAGTGCATTTCCTCCACCTCTCCAAGTTATCTTCCACCTGTTCCCTGTTCTCACCACAGATCACAATGTCATCTGCAAACATCATAGCCCACAGGGTTTCCTACCTGACCATCTGTTAGTCGGTCCATCACCAGAACAAACAAGAAGGGGCTCAGAGCAGATCCTTGATGCACTCCCACCTCTACCTTGAATCTATCTGTCACTCCTACAGCACATCTCACCACTGTCCTGCTGTCCTCATGCATGTCCTGCTGTCCTCATGCATGTCCTGTACCAGTCTAACATGTCCTGCTGTCCTCATACATGTCCTGTACCAGTCTAACATGTCCTGCTGTCCTCATACATGTCCTGTGCCAGACTAATATGTCCTGCTGTCCTTATACATGTCCTGTACCAGTCTAACATTTTCTGCTGTCCTCATACATGTCCTGTACCAGTCTAACATGTCTTGCTGTC